ATATATATATAGAATAGCCTTTATTTAAATGGTGAATCAGCAGCCTTCATTTCCCTTGCAGATAAGTTTCAGAATTTAGCAATTCAGAAAACTGTTACTTTCCTTCATGTGGTTTAGCACACTACATCATCACATGTATTCTTACAGGTTATTTTTCCAGTAAAAGAAACTAAAACGCTGTATACAATAATTTCTTGTGGTGGGTGGCAACAATAAGGTTTCATGCTGAAAGTACATTTTTTTTAAAGTTGTTTGGGCTTATAGGAAAAGTGCTAAAATATTGTGGGATTGACCGATGGAGTTGGTATTTTTATTTCTACTTTCTGCTTTCTGCCTTAGAGCATGTTAGACAATATAACATATGAAGTGATAATTGTGTGTTTGTGCTGGCTAGTGAACTAACTCTCTGGGTTATACAGTTTTTTTCATGCTATTGAGGAAAACCAGAAATGAACCTACTCTGCCTTTAGGTTAGCAGTATGATCTCACCTTAATCCTCTCTATTCTCCAGGCTTCCTTTTCTCTGAGAATTTATAGCAACAGTTTTTGCTCTTTCCCCTTCCTAGAGTGCTGACAAAAATCTTCTCTTCCATGCTGGAATCAAATATCCCCTCAGAAGGGAGTATTCAAACATGAAAAGCAGACGCAATGTCCAGGTATTCAGAAATTTACATCTATCTTTTGTTGTCAGCCTATAAAATATCAATTATGAAGATAATAATGTTTATCTAACACAAGTCTTATTGTCTTTGATTATGTGAGACAGAAATTATAGGGCTAGTGCCTTAAAAATTACAATTCTATACAAATGTGGTAAGCAAAGAATGTGCATTATAAACTTGTATTTACATAAAATTTCACAACCAGTGCAACTAAGTTATGATTTGCTTGCAAAACTATAAAGAAAAGTTGGAAATATTACTATTAAAGATAAGATATTGGTTATTTTGTGGGAAAGGAAGAATAGTTTGTGATTTGGAAGAAACAGGAAAAAAATCTTTACAGGGTGGTATATAATATTCTGTTTCCTGACCTGTATGGCAGTTGTAGTGTTTGTTTATAATAAGTGTTTCAGTTGTATAGTTATACTTTAGATAGTTGCATTATATTTTGCAATAAAAGAGATTTACAAATTTTTAAAAGAATTCCAAGTTAAATATCCTACATAAGAAATCTCATAGGTTAGATTGATTATTCAAAGTTTTGGTTTTTATTTATATATATATTTTTTTAGTGCCAAGAATCGAACTCAGCACAGTGTGCTTGAGAGGCAGGAGCAGTGCCACTGAGCTAAATCCCTGGCCCTAAAAGTCTTGTTTCTGCATCCTGTAAACTAAAATAGAACCACAAGTTGTATATATTTGTAAAAATGGCCTGTGTGACTAGAAAAACCACAGCAAACCTTAACACATAGAATGCAGTATATCCAGATACAATAGTGATAAAAACACATCAATAGCGAGTATTTTTTAAGATAAATTACCAGTTTTGTTTTATGAATTCTATGTTCTCAGCTACTCAGAAGGAGCGCTTCAATATCTCATCATGGAAAACTGTCACATAAAGAACTGATAAGTTTTCTTTGTTCCTTGGTGTCAGTAAGGGTCTGAGGAGGAGAAGGGAGCAAGATTTGCACATTGCCAGGAAATTTGGGCAGTTGAGGGTCTGCTTTCTGAGAGCACAGACCATAAACCCAGAGAGAACAACATGGCAATGTTCCAAAAAGCCCAAGAGGAAGCTATCATGTGCTACATACAGGAGAATAGCCTGTTGGGTCTGACTTAGGATGTGATATTCCAGTTGTCAGACCGTCTTTCTAGAGTACTGGCTTCAGTTTTGACCATGATAGTTCTGTGGTAAGGAGAATGAAGACAATTGTGCATAGTATGATCATTTTTGTTTTAAAAAAAGAAAAGACCACAGAAAAGCATTCTAGAAGCGTATCTATTAATAGTACTTGCTTTTATTTTTAATTGCATCCATTGCTTTATTGTTCAAATTCCTTACTATGTCTACATATTATTATTTTCTAAATGACTGATTTTTTAAAAATTACTTGGAGAAATTCAAGAATAATAATAAATGTGTCTCTAGTAGTTACCATGTTCCAATTCCTATTCTAAGCACATTAGACACATTGACTAGTTAATGTACACAATAACCTTAGGAAGTAGAAACAATCATTGTCCCCATTTTACAGATGAGCAAAGTGAGGCACAAAATCAATATGTGCAAGGTCACACCTCTGAGAAGTGAGCCATGACTTGAAACAGAGCATTGGAACTTCAGTTTCTGACTCTTGAACAAATATACTATAAAGTCATTGATAAAGTGGAAGAAGGCTACGGTATCAAGTAATTTTTGTTCTTATGCATATGAAGAATTTGAAAGGAAAAAGAAATGTATTAGTTATTTACATCTACAAGAAAACTTATTCGTGAATCCATGAACTCTAATGAAATCAGATTAAAAATAGGACTTTATTTAAGAAAGGCTTTGTCAGTTGAAAGAAAAAAATAACCTACCATGGTAAATTGGAAAAGTGACTTTGAAAGTATGGCCTTTTTTATTACTACTTTGTCTGTAAATTAATTATGGTAATTAAACTTTCCATCTTTTATGTCTCTTTTGAGAGGCAGTCTCTCATCCTCTAATTCCACTTTCTTAGACTTATTTACAAAGTGCTGTTCTCAGTGCTCTAGTTTACTCAAATGCCTGGAGGAATATCTTGAAAAGTACTCACCCTCCTTCATTACAGAAACAATCTCACTTGATTGGTCCCATTACCCTTGTTTTTGGTCAATGGATGGAATTAAGATTATTAAGTAAAATATATAAAAATGATTCATTAAGGTAGCCTCTGTGAAGTACATGCAGAAAAACTAATGAAGAGATTTTGATGTTTGCTTTTAAGAGCGTAATTTTCCAGTACATAAGGAAAAGGCCATACAAGTCATAATTTCCAAAGAAATGTCATAATGAAGTTTCATTAGTAAAATAGCTAAATGGACTGGTAATTGTATACTTTATTGAATATGCTGGTACTTATCATTAATGTGATTCCATAAAATGAATAACATCTTTTACTTTATTGAGATTAGAGGACCAAATGAGCTAACTTTGCTTA